AATGTAGATTAGGGAGGGGGGGGGTATTCATTGGTGTAAATTTGGGGATAATGAGATAATTTTTGGAACAATATTTTTTGATGTTATTCATTAGGGTAATTGGTATTGGATTCAACTTCATGATGTTATTAGTTTGTTGAGATAATTGTGGGATAAATACCTCACTTTCTCTAAAATTACACAAACTATATAAAGATTGCTTAGCCCCCACCCTCAAAATTACCTCATATCGCTTCCTGGGGAAAGAGGGGAACAAAATTACCCACTTTCAATCGCCCTCTCCTCCATCGTTGTTCTCGAGCTGGATCGCCTTCTCCTCCGTCGCCCCCTCGAAGAGATCCGACACCAACATCGTCACCCTTAACGTCGTCGTTCTTGAGCTCGATAGCCCTAGCTGGGCCCACCTCCGTCATCATTCTCGAGCTCAATAGCCCTAGCTGGGCCCACTTCCATCGTCGTTCTCAAGCTCGATAGCCCTAGGCGGGATTTCCCCACCGTCATCTCCTCCGCCTCCTCCTCTGCCGCCTCAACCATCTCTCGAACCCAGGTATGTGCCCTTTTCCCTCAATAGTCGACATAAATGAAGTGAAGCGTGACAAAAAGATGAGGACGTACATCTAGATTTGGATATTGGGTTTATAATTAGCCTTGTTTAAGTTAATAATAGGGAGTTGATTTACTTTGTCCCTTCCATTTACTTACAAATTGAGAAAAATATTAAGTTTATGGATGTGAAATGTGAATTCTTGGTCCATCTAATTATATAAAAAAATATGTGTACCCACTAAGGACTAACAGCTAGATGTTTGGTGCTCCCTGCTCAATTGTTACAGTCTGAATATACGATTTTCTTTAAATTGGGACGAATTTAAGGTAAAAGGGTTTTTGAGTGAAAGTGGAAATTATAAGTGCTAAGGTTGTTTGTTATAAGTGATCCCTCTGTGAATGCTTGTTATAAGTAATCACTCTGTTATATGTTAAAGTTGTTTGTTATCATTGAACATAAATTATAAGTGCTGACATAGTAGACTTGAGCATTCAAACACCAAAGTTTTTGCTATATTTGAACTCTTACATGTACATACTACATAAAGCTATAGCCTTTAAGCAAATGAATTTTGGTCATTATTGATATTTGCATTGTAGGATGAATTTTGCTTCGGAAACTTAAAATGTTGAAGAGTACTCTCAAGATAGTGAGAGGGCCAAAAAGGCTAGGTGTTACTATGTAATATGGTCAGAGCAATAGAATAGAGAGCTACTAACTAAGGCTTTTAGTGGAGAAGGTGAAGAATGGCAACAACATGGATAATGTCAACTTCAAGAAATATATCATCACTCAAAATGTGTTGTCATTCATGAATGCTAAATTTGGAAGAACTTCTAAATTTGATCATGTAAAGAATAAGATCACGAGTTGGAAGAAGAAGATTGAACCAATTGAATTACTATTGAGGAACAATTCTGGGTTTAGTTGGGACCCAGTATCTCAAAGAATTACTTGCTCTGTTGAGGTGTGGAAAAATTACAAACAAGTTAACTTCTTAATTACCCAAAGTTTCTAACTACATAATATATTGTTATGTTTGCTAATTACAAAAAAAGAAAAAAAAAATTAATTTGTTATCTTTGTTTTTTGACAGGCTCATCCTAATACACCAATGCTTAAAGATAAGTTATTTGAAAATTTTGAGGATATGCAGATGGTGGTGGGTAGCCACTCAGCTAGTGGGAGAGCAGTTGGAGGCTTAGGAAGTGAGGGTGTAGAGAGTGCGCCATTACATAATGTATTGGATGAGAGTATATTTGATGATGAGATTGGACTTGATGTTATGGGTGAAGCAGAACCTACTCAACCACCAGTAGATCCTCCACCACGTCCCCCTAATAGCACTCCAGGTCCTGTCACTCCCGTTGCTGAATCTGTACCATTGACCTCTAGCACTAGCAGAAATGTTCGTAGAGCACCTTCCGGCACCACCGCCTCTGCATTGTCTCAACCCATCGTGCAAGAAATGGCGAGTGAAATTACAATTATAAGTAAGGCTTTACAAGAGTTAGTCACAGAGGTGAGGTTGTTGCGAAGCTGCAACCAACCGTGGGTCGAGGGAGTGGCTTCAATTTCAGAATTTACCGATGAAGAACAATTGACTGTCCTTAGTTAAAATATTTCCCAAGACGTGACAGATATGTTTGTGAAGATGAATGATGATCAAAGAAGAAGGTTTATGATTTGGTGACTGACTGGAGTATTTCCAAATGACGACAATCATTATGCTTATTAATGACTATGCTTGTGGACCATAGTTTGATGACTACTCTTTTGGAGTTGTATTTTTGGGAACATAGATGTTGTTAGTTATATGCTTTTGGACTTTTATGTTAAGCACATGAATGCTTTGATGATTACATGGTTTTAAATATCATTTTTGTACATATATATGTATGTTAAGCACATGGATGCTTTGAATGACTATCATTTTTGTTAATGGTCAATGTCAAATATATCACCTCATACTGGAAACAAATATCATATCTGGCCTGAAGCAATAACTACATGAGCTGATTTTACATGGACATGGCTTCATTCAGATATTCAAATGAGATGTAACTAAAAGGTTCAAATCTTCTACCAGACCGACATCATAACAAGTAAATGATTTCTCACTTCCTGAGGATCATAGAAATGAATGAAAAAATGCATGAATCTTTGTTTTGATGGAATTCTTGTAGTGAAAGTAATTGGTGAATATCTTGTAGTGAAAATCTTGCTCTGTTTTTATTTCATGATTAATACAAGATAGAAGATAATCAGAATGTCTCTATTTTGCTATTTGATGAGGATACTGCTGATTATCTCCTTATTCACATTATCAACATGGCTGCACAAATAGGAGGTCTAGTCACAAGTATCTCGCACCTCATATCACAAGAGGAAATAAATTTTCACATCTCCCAACTCAGACATGGCATTACAGACATTGGCTTTCAATATTTAAAATCTAAGATGGAGAGCAATCCACGTGATTTTTGTCGAGTATATCGTATGTATCCGGATTACTTTATGAAATTGTGTATGACCTTGCGAGAACGTGGGCATTTACAAGATACACGGTATATCGGCGTTGAGAAGATGGTTGCTATTTTCCTTCTCACTGTTACTCAAAATCAACAATATTTCATCACCACTGAGATGTTTGATCGATCCCGATTTGCAGCTAGTGTTTGTTTCAATAAGGCACTCCAGGTCCTTATGTCATTAGCCCCTTGTATGATGACTCCTCCTACTACCGATCCACCAGCAAATGTCACATCCGAATCTCGTTTTTGGCCTTATTTCAAGGTATTGAAATTTAAATACACTATATAAGTCTTCATTCATTATTATTATAATTTTAAAGTCACATTTCATATATGTTAATGGGAATATATAGGACTGTATCGGTGCTATTTACGGGACCCACATTCCATGTATGGTGTATGGCGAGGACCAAACTCCATATCATAATAGACATGACAATCTTTCTCAAAATATCCTTGCAGCACGCACATTTGATTTTAGGTTTATTTACGTCTTAGTGGGATGAGAGGGATCTGCCAATGATTCACGGGTCTTGAAGGATGCAATGAGTAGAAGTGCATGCAGTCTTCCACTTCTAAATGGTAAATATTTTTTTATCAAATTGTTAGATTTTATATTTATTGATTATAATTCTACAGAAATGTTAATGCATGTAAATTTTATCTAGTTGATTGTGGTTACCTAAATAGGCTACAATTCTTGGCTCCCTATCGGGGTACGAGGTACCACCTTAAAGAGTTTGGCCCAGCTAACAACTGTCAGTGACCACGCAATGCTCATGAGTTATTCAACCATCGACATGCATCTCTTAGAAATTGTATTGAATGTATTTTTGGCATTTTCAAGATTAGGTTTACTATTTTTAAGTCTCAAACTCCAGGTTTTCCATATTAGACTCAAAAAAGTATGATCTGGGCATGTATCGGTTTGCATAATTTTCTGAAGATGGAGAACTCTAATGATGACTTTGAAGTTTTTGATCTTCCTTCAGAGGCACCACACAATGTTGCTCCGATTGATGGTGATTCTGATGAGAACGATGACCTACAAACTAAACAAGCACAGCGGGCAGCTGCATCACGTTGGAAAGAATAAATGGCAAACACAATGTGGGAGGATGGGACAAACGTAGCCCAAGAAGTCTAGAGCAAAGTTATATGTCAGTAGATTATATTTGTAATAATTAAGATTTAAGTTACTGACTAAAGATTTTATTTGTAATAATTGAGACTTTATCATCATCATTGTAATAAATGTAGGAATGATTAAATAATTATTGCAATTGAAAAATTTGTTAATATAACATAATAGCTAAAATAAACATCAAAATATTCAAAGATTGATTAATATTATTAATATTATTATATTATTTTTGATATTTTATATTAAAATAATCTTAAAAATAATATTATTATATATTATAACCATTATTTATTTAATCATTTGATGTTATATCAAGTTAAACTTGAACTTAATTGATCTATAATATGATATTATAAAAAGATGTCATATCAATTGTCCCACTCAAATTATCCCATTTTACCCCATTTTATCCCACTCAAATTGTCCCATTGGGTAAAATTATCCCATTGAAACCATTTAACCCAATTTGCTCCCATTTACACAAATGAATAACAGTAAACACAACAGAAAGTCCTTCATACAAGAAAGAAACTCAAGTTTTTCAATAATCAGCCTCGTCATCAGATAAATTTCGAGCCAGAATCTTCACATAATACAAGCTGAAATTAGATATTTTTAATATCTGATTGTGAAAGTTTTTTAGAGAAAGAAACACTAGTGAAGAACATAATACACCTTCGTGTAACCCACGATAATCACACCCAATTCCTACCATGTAACTAGCATTCCTTCTAACACACAACCATAATAACATAGCACATAAAAAAGTTAAAAATAGGTATGAGTGGCGGCTCACTAAGTAAAATGAGCTACCAAAGAGCTGTAGTCATGTAGTGAGGCCCATCCTAATCGTCACATCAAAAGGTGTGAGTCTCACTAACTTATCTCTTAATAGCTCATTTTGCTAAATGAGCCACCACCTCATAGCTTTCGAATCCATATATTAATCATATAAGATATTTCCCCTCACATATTTTTCTCAAGCAACAAGGGAGATGCCTGCAAGGACCAAAGAATTAGCAATCACTTGGTTCGCTGCTTCAGTCGGGTGCACGCTATCCCAGAACACATAGCCCGTAGCATTTGCGCATGTGCCTACTGATTTCGGGTTGCAGAGAACCGAAGTTTCTACTGTTCCAGTTCCACAACAGCCTTTTCTTGCCTCAAAGAAGCCTGTACCAATTCATGGTATCAGATTATCTTAATAGATACATTGATATATCCTACAAAACTTTGGTAGATGATTACTAATAGTTTTAGGGTTAATTGTGGGTAGAGCCCCCGTATTATTGTCATTTTAAACTTACTATCTCTTTTGTTTTATTGTTGTAGATAGACCACCTAAGAGGACATTTTTTTTTTATTCTTTTACCGTTAGAGAGAGAATTTTTTTTTGACAAATAGATCCCCTAAGGGTAATAGGCAAAAGTTTACTGAGGGAGTCTATCTGTAGCAGTAAAACTAGAGGGATTGTAAGTTCAGAACAATGATACTGGAGGGAGTCTATCAGCAATTAACGCTGGTTTTGATATGAGTTATAATTAGCAAGCTATGAGTCATGAACAATAATCATATATAACCATGATCCATTAAGCAGCATTACAGGGCCTGTCAGAACATTTTCTAAAGCTTAAGGTGTTGTTGGATAATAGACCAAGGGGTTAAGGACAAGTAAAACCTCAAAAAATACATACCTGGAATAAAGTGACTAAACTGTTCTTAATTAGCCAAATGATAAAAAATTAAAATGGGTTATATAACCCATCTAGATGGGTAAAAATAGAGGTTATAATCTCTAAAATGAGGGGTTTACTAATCATCCTAACTCTATATAAAACTATACAAAACAGGTTAACCAGTCTACCTTTCGTATATTACTCGAAATGTGTTTACTTCTATAACCCCTTTCATCTCATCTTTAGACTTAGTTTTCGCTAATATTCAACCTTTTAACTTTTGTTAAACAGGAACCAATTGTTTAGCTAGTTAATCGATCGAGCTATGTAGATCAACATCTAGTAAAGCAACAAACGGTGAAAGATCAATGCAGAACAGGGATTATAGTTGCAATCTTAAATAAACTCAAAACTTCAGTGATATAGCTAGCGGACCATTTTTGGAAGGATCAGTGGCGAGATCTTTGAGGGGAGTGTAAATGTCAAAGACCGCAATCTTCAGTTTAGGATGTTGCTTGGCTAGGGAGTTCACGGCCGCGTTAAGCTTCTTGTTGAATCCTTGAGAATCAACATTAAGCCTTGGCACACACTCATTACTTCCATATCCAAATAGTGTGATTGAAGCAGGAACACATCCTAATGGTGGTAATGTTGTGACCGCGATCTTTCGAGCACCCAATCCGTATAAATCCTGCATATATAAAAATCAAATAAATCAGCAGGTTAACAGACTTCAAAACAATGGGCTTTTGTCACATACTACACTCTAGCAGGTCTCAAAAGGTCTTCGTATGTTTAAGGGTTGCTTGCCAATGGAGCCCCCCCTGCAGTACTGTGTATCTTGTCATGGAACTTAATATCCTTAGTTTGATTTTGGCAGATAGACCCCCGCCCTGAGTGAAATATTGTGGCTAAGTTTTACCGAACTCCTTGAACTCTTGGGGGTTTGGCAGATACCCCTTCTTAACTTTGTTTATTCCACGCAACCCTCGATGGTAACGCGCCATGGACTTTCACTCGTCACCAAAGGGCGAAGTTCGTATAAAGGGTTGATTTTATCTGACGTGGGTGTATGTATCTTCATCCTTAATTTGATGTCAAAGTTCACGGTGTTAGCTTTGGGGTTAAGTTAGACAGCCTCAGTGGGCATAAGTGAAACGCCGAGAAGTTCAGGGCGTCATATGTAAACCCTCCAAGTTCGGGGGGGTCAAGCGAAAATTACCTCTCTTTTTTAAATTCTTTTACCCTTAGGGGGGTCTACTTGCCAAAAACAAATTAACAGTCTGATCCCTTTCTCTGATAGTGTTTACGAGCGTCACTGACCTTGACGAATTTGGTGAAGATGGAGACGAGGAAGGAAGAGAACTCGTCGGGGGTGTACAACTTGTTGAGATAAGGATTGACGTAGTAGTTCTGAATGAAATCACTGCTGCCTGAACTCACTAAGTAGAGAGCTCCAGAGAGAATGGATGATGCCTTTTTGCTGCCAGCAATTTTTGCTAGCTTCGATTGGTACTCTTTGTAGTACTCTAGCTGCTGGGATAAGGGGATTACATGCTGCCAAAATATTTAAAACAGTGAGATGGATGGATATAAATTGCTCATCTTATTATTTGTTTGGATGATATATTTCATTATTACGTACCAGCTTTTGTCTAGTTCTAACAGGGGGAAAAAATTAAATTAAATTAAAAGTCTCAGATGTGATTTGGTCTACATAAAACATGATTACTTCAGGCATAACTTTTATCGAATATGATTTACATGAGGTAGTGAAATTTATTTCAAACTGCAGGAAGGTTTAAACAGTGATGGTTAATTAGATGGTTCTTAGTGTTAATGTTTTTTCGAGCACAGTCAGCAAAACTCCGTTTCAAAATGCTTAAAAATGACATTCAAGGCTCCGTGTCTAGGATTCTGCTTGAAAACAAGCAAAAAGATTTTTAAAAAAAGCCTTACGAAAAAGTCACATTTACAACAATTTTTTGTTTTTGTAAGTATTATTAAAAAGAGAGATTTCACTGTTAGCTTTAGTTGGTGGTTAGTATCACTTTCCTCTTTATAGTTTTATCTCAGTTGTGTTTTGTCCTAGATATAGAACACCTCAAACATGAAGCAAAATAAAACACGAAAAAGTGACTATTGTTCTTCAACAGTATAGGATACTTCTGTTGAATATGTTTAGACATAGTTAGAAAATTAGACTTATATAGAGTTTTCCACATCCATACTTCTTTTAGAACTGTATTATTGTTTCAGGCACATCCATAGATTTTCTCCATCCATTATTCTTTGTAATTTGTACTAGATCATATCTATATGCCTAATACGCCTTTTTGATATTTCCCTTATAAAAACACCATTAATTATTTGGAAGAGAAGACAAAAAGGATTAATACACCCATAAAAGAAAAGCGAACCGATGGAGTTTATATAACTACTGATATCAACATCACAAAAAACTTAGAAATTTAGTTGATATTTTAAACAACCTTAGTTAAACTCAAACATAAGTCATAAATGAACGTTTTAAAAAATTATGTGCCTTGATTTCTACGTATAAATTTGATGACTATGATGAAATATAACTTACAGAGGAAATTGCAGTATGATCATAATATCCTGATCCAGCCGACGCAAAATTTGCTCCTATAAGAAGGTTTTTCCCTGAAGCCTGAGGGCTAAGATAAGCCGGAGGGTAGCTAGTGAATCCCAAAGTCTCAGCTACAAATTTACACAACAAACACTTACACTCAGAACAAAATCGGCGAAAGGTGGGAAAAAAAGAAAGTGTGTCATATCACTCTGAATCTCTGATGAAAGCTCACCAGTGATATCAGTAGCCAACTTGCCATTGCAAAACCTCCCAGTCGGCTGTTTGTTCTTGAAATCTCTCCCGTACGGAGGAAAATCTGCCTTAAAAAAGGTAGTAATATAGTCATTATTCCCTACATCAACTGAAGAATCACCAAATGTTATTATGGCGGGAACAAGTGCATTTGAATCTTGAGATTGGCCTCCCAAGATATTGCAGGAAAAGAGTAGCAACATGAAAGCTATTGCAAAACCCATTCTAAGAAAGTTTTGAGGATTAGCACTAATTACAAGATCTAATGGAAGAACGATACCTATATATATATATATATATAGTCTAAAAGTTTTTGAGAAATGATGAACATTAAGGTAGTCCATGGAGTTTGTTAAAGAGCATTCAAAGCACGCATGTGAGCTGGATGTTGACGGTTGATCAGTAGGGATAATTTTGTTAGTTTTCCTTGCATATTTTCAGAACCATAGCCTCCATTAATCCTTGCAACCAGAAAAGGAGGCTCTTAAATGTGGTTGTGTCAGGAGGTTCAGAGGTAGCTGCTATCCACTGCCTAATGTAATGATCGCGAAAAGGGTTGAATTGCGGGTAGACCCCTTGTATTTCTATTCTTGCAGACAGGCCACCTGGATTCTCAACTCCGCTAGTTAAATTTAAGATTGAGCTTCATAAACTGAGACATATGAGCTTCATATACTGATTTACTCACTATAAACTAGCATAACGATCATCACATATAGCTAATTTAAATGGGAAAACTAACATATATAGTTGAGAATCCACGGGGTCTATCAGCTGCAACGATAGAAGTACAGAGGGTCTATCCGCAATTTGGCGATAGTACAACAAGGGGCCAATCCATAATTAACTCAATGAAAAGAAAATGGTACGCGGTACTGAAAGGCTAGGATTGTGGATAATAAACAAAGATGTTAGTGATGAAATATATTCACTAAATACACTCTGGCTGTCGAGAGTATGACAGGCAGCTGCCCTAATGGAACTGTGAGGATCTTAATGGTTTTTTTTTTTTTTTTACTTATTGGGGTGTGAAGATGGGACCTGAGACTCTTGTCAAGGCTACTGGTGCACCTAACAACAAAGTTTTTATTCCTCAACACCGAGTCTTTGAGAAAAACTCAAGCACGCACATCCACACCGCATGGCTCCCCGGAAAAACCATTCAACAAGCCATTATGTTGCTTGTCATGACCACTTGGTTGTGTTTCCCTCTCAAGTCACGTGGATAATAATGATTTATAAGGTTATTTTTCTTGTGAGATTTAGTTGTCATTTATGTCAAGCTTGCAACTGCTCAATTGAGTACTATTGGGTTGGTTCCTGTCTATTTTCCTTGATGTTTCTACATGTTATGCTCCGATAAATAAGGCCGAATTTTCTTCGAGTACATAAAAAGCAGAAGACAGTGCCGAGCAATTGAATTTTGCGCGTAATCAGTCGTGAATATTGAGCATTGGCTCCGCGTCTTCTACAGGAAAGAAAGGCTCAACGGAAGTGGACGATAGATAGACGGCTGCTCTTGGTTCAGCCAAAAATAGACCATTGAATGGAAGTGCTACATCGCGTTTCAATATTGACAAGGTGATATCCCGTTTGAAGGTGGAGCAAATTGAGGAGAAAGTAACTAATACAACAGCCACAGCACTGAGTAATAAAACAAAACTTTACCGGTTTATCTGTACTCATGTAACAGCTTTAATAAACACGCTCTAACCATTTATATAACATAAAAAAAAATGAATGAATTTTGTTTACCGATGGCATCTCCACACATGCATGACACAAGTGCAGGTGAAATTAATCAGCAACAAATTTGATGGACAATGTACCCCCTCCCTTATGGGAGACAAATTATTCACGCAGAACGCTTTTTATGCGGAGAGATCACAAAATAAAAGTGGAAAATTGTTCAACTTTTGAATTCAAAAGGGAGCAAACAAAAGATAATACTTCTAAAACTGAAAGCATAACATGTATAAACACATTCAAATACCTTAAGTGGTAGAAAAATTTCAAATGTAGTCACATAAAACGGACAATGAAGAGCTATCACCAAACTTGCTATCGAACTTGAAAAAGTTGGAGCAAGAAAATTCACAAGATAACCTTGACATGGTACAGCGTTGCAATCAAAACTTCCAAAATATCTCGTTAGCATCAGTTCTTTTATACATTATTACCACTTGCTACTCTACAAAGAACGAGTTCAATACATCTTATGTACATAAGTGGAAACTGTGACTGTAAAAAAAAAAAACGTTAAGAGAAGAGGGCCTGGCGCACAAATAAAGGCCATCTCCCTCATTTTTTCCCCTCTTTTGTTTCCCTTTATCCTTCCCGGCTTATCTTGCTCCTCTCCAACTCCTTCAAAAATTGAGTTGCGCCTGACTAATGATATTATTCACTTTAAATATGTTATGACTTCCAGAATGTGTTTGGATCTTTACTATACAAAGATCGATCCTGGATCTCCAAATTAGCAACATGCCAGTCAACAAGTCTAGCTTGGATACATTTACATAACAAAAGACTAGTAGGAAATAGCCACCAGCCACTTTCATCCCTGCCACAAACACAAAGAATCACAAAAATACATACATTGATTAACATTATTTAAAAGAAGCTGCGATTTGATTTTAACTTATATTATACATGAGATTCATGTACAGAAGCCAATATATTTTGTAAAATGAAAGAAAATATACTCACGCGCCCAGACTCCACGGCTGCAGGCTTGAATGCTTTCGGCTTGACGACTTGTAATGTATAAATCCACACATAAAAGCCACAATCTGTAGAAAGATTGATTTTTCAGAATCATAAATAGTAGATAGCATGCATGGGAAAACATTCCACCGTAACTAAGAAATGTAAATAAGAACATGCACCCACATAAAAGTTATAATATGCAAAAGGATGGATTTTTTTCAGAATCATAAATACTAGATTGGGGCAAAATAACACGGTAACTGACAAGTGTAAATAAGAACATGATAGTTATAATTTGCAGGACTTTTCAAGGCAATCAAGCTAAGAAAATCTCTCACATAACTGAAAGAATTGGCAAACAATCTGTGATAAAGGAATTACAGCATGCACTTTACAATCTTATAGGAAATAAATTTAAAAACGAGCCTTCTTGCTCAATCTACTTAATCAATGCACGTCAACGCGTTTAAACTTCACAGTCTACGTACTTCCTGCACTCAGTTTCAGATTTGATGAGAAAATGGCTTATTCAAAACATCTTAACTCGAGACTATATGATAAAGAGTACCACTACAATTTGTGTACTACTTTGACTAACAGACTGGAAAATGCTACACTACTCACCTTTTAATATATATATTCCTGATAAAATTCCAGCCAGAACTGGTCTAGAGATCCTCTACATCCTCGGTTGTAGAGAAACTCTACATTTGGCAAGGAGCACCAATAACCTCTCTTCATTCTTGTGGACCCCGTGAATGACATTATTTACGTAATTTATAATAAAAAGTTAATTATGGGGCCCACTAAATGCACCAATGTGATTGATCTACATAATGAACTGTAGGATTTCTCTACAATCAAGGTTGCAGAGAATCTCAAGATCAGCTCTATTTAGATGATTTGCTAGTGTGTTCTAGATGGTTATCAGTCATAAATATTAATAGGCGATGGAAGCTGTCATTCAGATAATTTTGATAGAAAGAATACTAGAACTGCAACACTGCAAATTTTCCCTAAACATATGATTCAAATATAAATCATGTATTACTTTGATACTAACAGAGTCGAGTATGTGCGGTCCTTTTCTACACATGATTCAAATAGATCCATATGTTTCTACTTACATGCTAGAGGCTACTAGGTACCAGCTCAGCACAAAACTTATATTACAGTTAGCATGGTTATGTGATAGTTGCACCTCTCCAGGGTATATGATGTTTCTTTCTCCAGAGTATATGATTCTTTCTCTCTAATTAACTGATTCGAATATTTCCTGCTCATGTGGATAATCTCTGAGTTTAAGCATATTAGTTGTCTTTCATAAGCTAGGCTTTTCCAGGGTCTAAGAGGAAAGTGCTGCCACAAACTTCAAGATGATGCTGACTAGCTATGCAACAGAAACACACATACTTTAAAGTTGAGTATTTGTCAGGTTGATCATCGGAACTGACACCTCCGGAGTGATTCTGGAAATTGGCACCTCTTGGACATTCCTTGGATGCACAAAGGGCACTTCTCAAGCCGTCGCAAATCTATCTTACAATTTTTATTTTAAACATTTTTCTAAACACATTTTAGCATCTTAAACATTTCTTTCGTACTTTCCACTCATCAAAATGTATTCATACTGTCATTTGTATTTCAAATAGTATATTCCACTCTAAAATGATAGCAAAGTAGCTAAAACTTGGATATAACAAGTTAGATACCTCACATTATTCCATACAATGATGACGAGCCTAGACCTAATTCCCTTCTTGAAGTATATCAATCATTTTAGAAAATATGATTGTTAAATTTCATCTAATTCTTAAAGAGATTAAGTGAATATTAGTTGAATAATTAAGGGTTCCCTCATATGCCTTTACAATTTCCTGTTAAGTTTGATTATATATAAATTCACTGTCACATTTTTGTCACCATATCCTACTTTTCAAGGAATTGCTCTTTCATCTTGTACTTATCATGTTACATCCCATGCCATATCCATGCCTTAGCAGATAGAATAAACATCAAATGAATCATGAATCTGACGGTCATCGGAATAAAATGATTAATTGAATGGACTATAGAAATAATCTAGCTGATCAATTCTCAACCATGGACGAGCGAGAAAGAACTTACAACATTAATCAAAGAAGTTGTATTCCATAAAGCATATACACGCGCGAGCCCTGCTGATCTTCGAGGTCCGTGGCTAAAAAGTGCACTGATTCCAGCAGGAAATGGTGAAAGTATACCCAGCGGTAGAATAAATAACACTAAGAAGACGTCTGCTAAAGAAAAGGAATATAATTGGAGCAAAGTAAGCAATACTAAGCTAAAATCCCCTAAAAGCAATATGGAGATGACCAACCCAACAAGGTCCTGCAATAAAAAAGAGAAGGAACAAAATCACAACAGTATTTAGGAAAACCAAGAAAATTAATATTGACTGCCACAGTTCACATACAGTGCTAAGTGCTAACTTAAAAGGTACTACAGGAAGATAGGCTAAAAACTAACCTGCTGCCCAATAGGTTTAGAGTTGTGCACTATGAGTGAGAACGGGTACAGGATATCTTTCCTGTCTTCAAGCATCCGCAGGCTGTAACTATCTAAAGTGCCTCCATTAATCTTTTGACGCAAGACAACTTCCCTATTTTCAAAGCATGCTTGACCATCCCTGCGGGTGTTACATATTCTGTACAGCACAAATTGTAATATCATTAAGTTTAAAATTATCAGATGAGCATCTTATACAAAATCCTTAATCAAGAAAAGGACACTTATCAAGAGAGAATATTTTAAAACAAAAGGTTAGAAGAATTACTGGGAAAGTTGATCAATGTTTATTAAAGTCCCTGCACCATCAACAGTTGTTGCTACAGACTCTTTTTCCACAGTGGATACGACAAGACCAAACTGGCAATAGCCAGAAGCAGTAGCCTGAAACCAGGCAAGATTAACACATACACCATGCGAGCTCAGAGCAGGATTTGCATGAGTTTGAAGCCAGTTGAGGACAGGCAGAAGTGTTAATCTTAGGTATCCACGACGAACAAGACGCAGATGAGCATTTAATCCAGCCACTAGGCGATACCATATGGTTGGTGGAACACACTGCAAATTATGAGCACATTGTGGGAACTACAATTCTGGAATATCCTCAAAGGACTAAAATTCCCTTGTGGTCACAAACTAACCTGACTCATAAGACTAGTGAGGACATTGTCACTGTGTAGTGAAAAAGGAGCCATGTAAGTTCCATCACCACCAAAGATTATACACATTGGAAATCTTTGATAAAGGCGAGGAGGAAGTTCAGGTCTTTTTTCATCTCCACCCAGATAGAAATCAACATATGCTAGCATTAAATCTGGGGTTGCGGCCACCTGCATAAAAGGAACAAGATTATATTATTAATGAATGAAGCTTTACCAGGTATACATAAGAAACTAAATATGATTGAAGAACACTAAATTGTAATAAAACAAAGATATAATGAAGATTTTCTGATAAAAAAGAAGACGCAAGAACAACAACGAAGGCTTTATCCGTACACATACCCGACACGTACTTGTACCCGTATCCATACCCAAACTCCTGGGACACTCCTTGCATGTATGAATACATTTATTCGGGCATGTACTCACTTATGCAATAGATGTTCTAAGAAATGTTGAAAGTAAAAAAAAAAAAAAACGTTTGACCTCCTGTTTGGGGCTAAGAGAAAAAACATAACGCATAATGTAGATTATATTGTTTATTAATTTTAGATATTTTTATAAATACTAACAATTCATAATAACTTTAATACTTAGAATCATCAAACTTTTCATACATAACATCACAATTATCAAACATAGAAATATAATATCACAATTTCTTAACAAAAGCTAGTCATATATGACTAATAATCATCCAAAAAGCATCATCAAACGATCAAATACGTCAATGTTGTCAAGTTTAAAGCAATACAAACAAGTCTAAACAAAACCAAACACGTCCAACTCTCAAGTTCTTAACGTCACAAAAATATTCTAATTCCTAACTAAGTTCACTACATCAACCAAACTAAATATTTATGTAACAATAAGAAATTTTGCATATACAGTGATTGCAATGTGCAAACTTAATTTCATAAAATCAAGTATTCATTGAAAACTGAAAACTAAAGCCTAATCAAAATCAAGTAATAACTGAAAGTAATTATCTTACCAACACAATTAACCCACTAATTAACATTTGTATTCCAATTCCATGACAGATCTTAAAAAGTTATGTTGAAGGGTTCCGTGACAGATCTTAAAAAGTTATGTTGAAGGGTAAAGTAACGGAGCAACAAGTTTGATATGATTTTAGGGTAAATTGGCAATATAAAAAATTAGAATTTAGAAGGTAATTTCAGAATTACTATTTATTTAAAGAATATATAACTGAAATGCCCAATACATAATTGAAAAATAAAAATTTTACATCACCAGTGTCTGCAGACGCTGCTGATAGCAAGAGGAGTTTCAGAGGATGCAGACGCTGCTGATAGCAAGAGGAGTTTCAGAGGAGGCAAGTAGCTAGGGTTTGGGTTGGAGGAGGCAAAGAGATCGCAGATTCACAGGAAGAGAATAGGGAGATTGGGACTAAAAGGGGTAGAATTACATGATTTGGACGGTGGAGATGCATCCACCCGTCCTAATCAGAGATGCAATTTAACCTAAGAAACTCAACCTAAAAAAAAATCATATTAAGTAGTTACATAACTTAATAAACATCTAATGCAATAAAACGTGTTTTTTCTATGTTAAACATTTTTAGTGTTAAATGGGCGTGTTACCTAGCAAGAGGGCACCGTTAAGTTACAAAACACGTTATAATAGGTTATATAATGCATTTTTTGCAACACTAGTTCTATGTTAAAACACTTCTCATACACATCTTGGACACATATCCTACAGTTCACATCCACTTACCAAAATTTGTTGGAACATAGGTCGATTTTCAAACTATTACTTAAAGGGTCATATGGGTGTCCAGATCAAAAATGTTGGTTTTCATATTTATAATCCACACCATAATAGAAAAAAAAATTATAGGAGTTTTAATTCTCATAACACATGAATGAAAAACAATAATGATATAAATTATTAATTACAACATATAATACATGTATGTGTATATAAAAATGTATATAGCCATCTCCCATACCCTACCTTTTACAAATTTAGCGTGTCCCATACCTGTACCCGTATAGACACCTGTACCCGTACTCGTACCATGCAACTCGGATTGTGAGCCTACCACTATCACAGTTGAAACACCATCATTTAACTATACAATGTCAAGTTCAGAATTTGAGTACTCATTCACAATTTCACATCAATGAGCACCATTAACAAGTGATTCTTGATTGGAGTAAGCTACCTATTTGTAACGAAGAGATGAATAAAAAATGTTAGCCATCAAGCATCAAGAAGAGCCATAAAGGAGAAGGTCAAAGAGTCAGCACTAGCCATCGAGAAGAGCTGTAAAGGGTTCTTCATCAACGATCCACTATCTCAATGACTCGTCTTATGGAGTTTCTTTGTAACAATGCTTACTAACTGCATTAAGCCCCCACTTCAGCTGTATCTGCTCTATATGAAACCAGTCCATTTTCTTCCTAAAGATATAGAATATTTTCACAATAAGTACCAACTTTTTATTAATATGTATGGTTGCTACTAAGATTTTTAGAGTTAATCTCTTCTATGGCTTTTCTTTTTAAATTTATTGTATATTGTTGTGAATGTCTCTTTAAGAAAAATCCTTTTAACCTCTAAAAATTCGCTGAATCATTAACCTTCTTTACTACCTAAATAGGGAACCTCTACTACATAAATTACTCTGATAAACATATATGCTTTCATCCATTTCATATATTACCAGATCAGTCAACTCCTACTAAATTATTGGTCCAACCTTCATATGAAATTCAGCCAAACTAAATACAGATGTGGACAAAATTTCCAATCAGTTTTACTTAATAAATTTCATCCCTCCTCGATCTGTGATCCGCCTTATGCCTCATGCATAGGGACTCATGGTGCATTTATAATCTGGATTGCTGAACATTTGTCACATTGGTATACAGTACCAACAGTTACATTTCAGTAAACAAGTACAAGAGATCAATATCTATTCTCAGAATTCAGGTTTTAAATATGTTTATGGCCATTCATGTCATCTAAACTTAAATGGTGAACAATACATGAATAAATATCGCTGGTGTACACAAAATAAAGTTTGTAGAGAATGTGCAAGAACATGCATGAAGCAATAAAAAATAATTATGGATGTGTTATAATCTAACAGTAAAAGAAACAAAATAAGACTATTAAACTATCCTACATGTAGCATGCTTCCAGCACAAGGAAGCTTTAGAAGAAAACAGAAAACAACGATGGGAACCACACGAAATATAGTTAAAGTGTACATAAAGACAAACCTTAAGCCCTTCATAGAGAGCACGTGAGCGACAAGAGCGCAAACATGCATGATCATACTCTGACCTCACGAACTCACGAAGACGTTGCAACTTCTTTCTTCTCCGCCACTGCTGCCATGACCAAGCAAAGGGATATGCAAGTATACACAGAATGCCGTAAATTGATCCCTCCCACCACTGATAAGCAGCTAGTACATTAACTTCATCAACAAATCTATTAAAAGCATCTTCGTATCTGCCATAAAAAATGTAGTATAAAAGCCTTGTGACATCTCTGTAACTAAAAGAACATTAGGTTCTAGAATAATGTAAAATTAAGATATCAGCCAGCCTCAAAAGGAAAAATTAGACAACAATTAAACTATGCCATTGGTAGATTAATATGCTCAATTTTGAAACGTTCTGTTTTCGGTTAACATAAATTTAAATCAAAGGAAACACCCACTTACACAATCTCAACAACTTGTTCTGGGGGAGAATGTGGGAGATGCCAAGGCTCGCTGAATGTATTCCACTTACACAATCTCAACAACTTGTTCTGGGGGAGAATGTGGGAGATGCCAAGGCTCGCTGAATGTATTTGATCCCATGAAGTACATCCTATGGTTCTGGGGGAGAATGTGGGAGATGCCAAGGCTCGCTGAATGTATTTGATCCCATGAAGTACATCCTATGCACATGGGTCTGGGACTCCTCCACTCTATTTGTTTCCATAACCTGTACGCAGAAGAACAAGTGCTTAAACCTATAATCAGGACTTTGCTGAAAGTTCTACACCTATTATTGTTAGAAACAGGAAACACAAATGCATCACCTCATTCAGTGACTCCAGAAAGGGGAACGAGTGATCAATTTGAGTCCCATGCTGTGTGGGAGCGGGGCCAGGCAATTCATCCCCACCAACAAATTTCACTCGTGCTACACTCATAACTAAAGCTAGCAAGACAAGAAGACTCAAGAGCAGAAGACCAAAAGGCCATGGCCCACCAAAAGTGAAAATCAACTCCTCGATAGCAGTATAACAGTGTGGCATGCGATACCTTTCAGATACACATTTATATGGACAAGGGGTCCGAGATACACCTCCTGTTAAAACAATACTGAATAATAAGATTTAACAGAGTAAGAAATGAACAGCCTTTTAGTCAACTAGAGGTACAACTATGAGCTTATGGGCATGAAACAAACTAAAAACAAAATCAAGTATGAAACCTTTAAGAACAACAAATACATAAAATAACTTGTAGCTATCGTCTGGAAATATAGACTACATCAACAGTTTGTGATCACGTCAGCATAATTTTTATGTTTAAATAAAGAGAATTGAGGAAAGAAATACCTCGGACAGTAATATACATTGCGCGATGAGGAAGCTCATAAGAGGGACACTGATGACAAAGAGAGCGATCAGATCCTGTAGCATTCTTAAACGTTCCCACTGGACATTCCTGCATCAGATCAATAAAGTTTACATTCTAAAAGATACCAAAAAAAAGAGATAGTACAACAAGAGATAAAATACAGGTGAAGAAAAAAGGCATGAATAACATAACAGAAAAGAAATGGAATGAGTATGAGGAAGTTTGTGAGTTTCATGTGTGATAAATTGGTTATCAACTAACATGGGACTGTCTAACTCTAATGCATATCTATCAACAAATTTGGTTTTGCTCACCATGCATTTTACTGTTTACGCATTAATAACCTATTGATAATGCACATCAACAACATATACATCGGACAAGCAGTTCACAATGCTAATCAAACCTATTAGAGAAAATACTGAGATGGAATTAGAATGAATAGTTACATGTCTTCACATTGAAGGAAGTTGTGCGTGATATATTGAAGCTTTTTGTACTCCTACCACGATGCATAGATTCAATCAAGAAACATGCACTTGAAACTAACGGAACCAATTCCTGCAATGGTTCCCGCTATTAAATTATTGGCTTCTGCAGTGCCTTTATAATCGATGGGTGGGGGAGGGGGGAAAAGCTCTAGGCAGCCACCCGCACGGCCTGTATTGAGATATAGAAACATGTATCGAACTGTAAAAATCAAACAATGACGACGTATTGTATGACCTTTTAAATCCATCATCATCGTCATTACACGACTTCTCTTTCATCAATGTTAAAAAAAACTCAATAAAAGAAGCGATACCACCAATATGCTTTAGAAAACCATGCAAAAATACATACAAGGTGGTTGTGCGGTAACAGTAGCAATGTGTACCTTCTGTCTATACACCCACTAAAGAAACACTTTCGCCTTTTTGTATAAAATTTGTAACATTTACTCTCTTCACAATGGCGACAGAGATATCATCGAAATTGGAAAAGAAAGAGCAAGTTAAGAGGATGAAACAAAAGCACTCAAATCTTTTGGCTAGATCCACAATCCGCTGATATCTTGAATTCCAATAATACATCAGAAACTGTCAGAAACACCTTTGCTCTCTGAGATTTATGTTTAATAAGAGGATGAAACAAAAGCACTCAAATCTTTTGGCTAGATCCACAATCCGCTGATATCTTGAATTCCAATAATACATCAGAAACTGTCAGAAACACCTTTGCTCTCTGAGATTTATGTTTAAACATGAAATCTTTCTCGTTTTATTATCTTTTGAAAGCCTTTATTCAACATAATACTGTAGAATAGATAAAAGAAAGTATTGCATCCTGATTATACTTAGGTCAAGGCTTGCATTTGAACAAAATAAAGGAAATAGAAAGGTACCTTGCAAAAGATTCCATAAAGCCCTCTGGGGCAATCCTTTCCAGTTACCGTCCCGTTTTCTCCAGCAAAACCTTGTTCCTTGTGCAAGCCACCCCTGTAAAAGAAATCAACACAGCGCTCCATAACCTTACAACATATAGCATGATCTAATGCTCCACAACCTTACACCATATGACATGACCAAATGCTCCATAACCTTACACCATAAAATTTGAAACCAATTTCCAGAGTATCACTTAAATATTATTGTCATGGAAAGCATGAGAATGAGTTATGTCATTTTACTTCTCCACGCCTAGAAAACGAACTGGAGAACATGATAATTGAGATGCCTCAAATTTAGTCCCACATGGGATAATGAGTAGAGTTCTATAGGCTTTATTAGCCAAGTCATGAGAGTCGAGTGCAACATTGGCTAGCCAATTTTGGCAGTAGATTAAACTAAACAACGTGTTGCACTCAGTCGATTCCAGGGCTTATAATGGGCCAACAGGCTCATGGGCCTGAAGTGTGACAATAGGAATCCAAAATGACTAGGACTCCAATAACACCAGTAACTGGTCAAAGGTAAACCAATAGATTTGATAACAGAAACTCTTTTCTCAGGTTGAAGCATAATTATTCCCCAGAAAAACTTAAATGTCATATGAATAAGTGATTCAATGAATAAGACAAAACCATTAGCAAAAATTTTCTATTTCAACAACAAGAATTGTTTTTTCTACATTCATTTCCATTAAAGGCCATCTCCTTTGTCAGGTTAGCAAATGAATGTCCTTGCTTTCTTTCAAAATTAATGTTCATAATGTTCTACCCTTACAAGCCGCTCCTCCAATATGAACCGGCAACACCTTCTTGGTGTGTTAGGTAGTCCATCACATGCGTCCAAAGGCAACACCTTCTTGGTGTGTTAGGTAGTCCATCACATGCGTCCAAAGGCAACACCTTCTTGGTGTGTTAGGTAGTCCATCACATGCGTCCAAAGGCAACACCTTCTTGGTGTGTTAGGTAGTCCATCACATGCGTCCAAAGGCAACACCTTCTTGGTGTGTTAGGTAGTCCATCACATGCGTCCAAATGGTTCTCCTCCACCTTATCCTTGAGACAGGTCTTGAGTTATTTCATTTGTTCTTATTAATGCACTTCTTCCTTTTTGTGGGCATAATAGTATTTTAGGTAGCTTTAATATGCAGTTAGTTTCCTGGATAATCTTGATGGGTTCTAGAGTTACCTTTTTGTTTTAGTTAAGGGCCACAATTGTCCAGTGTAGTAGCTTTCTATTAAATGTTTCCGTATGGTAACCAATCAGACCTGAATGTCATGTGTTTCAACTTTAAGATAAGGAGACACTAGGGTGACAAATTCCTTCATTGCCTGAGAAAAGTGGGTTGTCAAATTCCCAAAGTACTAATAGGCATTTTGGTAGATGAATGTTATGAAAATAACAAGAACTCATCACCATGTAGAAATGTAATAGTTATAATCAAAAGGCCATAATTCTAGTGCACCATCTCGAGCATAAATAGAACTAAATACTGGGTAAAAGTTCCTCACGGATACATGATACATCCAGTGCACATAGAGGTTATGTCATATCAAGAAGGCAAGCTTTTAGACCTCTAACTATAAAATAACCACCATGTACCTAATAACGGGAAAATTAGTAAAAGGAATATATACATTAGTGAAGAGAAAACGATCACATTCTGATAATCAAATCAAAGATAAAAACGGAAGAACAAAAAAGCCAAAATGCATACCGGTAGAAACTCATCAAATAGCTCAAAGCAAAAAAAAAAGAACTCAAAAGAATAAAAGCAATGGTATTAGGTATGTCAAACCTTGTACTTATACTTCCATTTATGCTTGCAACAGGGAGATATTCATCCCCTGTGGGGATATCAGACCAATGTAAGTGAATCCGCCCACCACCGCCACCGCCCCCACCATAACGGCTTCCAACGCCCCCAACACTTGAGAGAACAGAACCTTCAGCAAGAGTTAAATAACTCAGAAACAAAAGAATCGAACCCCCAGATCCACCCCCAGGCCCTCCATTAGCAACAGCTTCATCATGAAAGCCATTTCCACTAAAACTTTCACCATCAGCTTCCACTGACCCATATACAATTAAACTTGATAATGCATGCTCCAATGAACCCATAACTGTAAAAGGAAGAGCTGGTCAGCAATTAGAAATGACAGATTACATTTGCAGAGACAACACAATCCAACATCCTCAAGATTACAAGCATTTATTCCACAGTAGAGGCCAACCGAATGAAGGTGCCAAGATAATACCAGTATTAGAATCTACATGGAAAAATCATAAAACTGAATGCAAACTTCCAACTAAGCTATGGTGAACGAGCATGGGCATGGGAGACGTACACAGTAAGACAAAAGTGCATATAAGCAAAATCTTAAAACTTTCATTGGATGTGAATACATTGAGATTATATCATAAAATAATAGTTTGTGTAAATATTTAAAAGTAATATGTAAATATATAAAAGCATACGTATATGTAAAGAATTAGGTGTAGGAAGGACATAACCTTGAGTTTCATAACAAGGTTACCTTGTAGACTTTAGTTGTGACAAGCTAGGCATGTATGATCTGTATGCTCCAGCTTGAGGGCCAGTGTTATAATAGGACTTAGTTTATTTAGAAAGATAGTATATCTAAACACTTTCGCCTTTTTGTATAAAATTTGTAACATTTACTCTCTTCACAATGGCGACAGAGATATCATCGAAATTGGAAAAGAAAGAGCAAGTTAAGAGGATGAAACAAAAGCACTCAAATCTTTTGGCTAGATCCACAATGAGATTTGAAGCAAAATGCCTGTGACATCAACCCACATGAAATCTTTCTCGTTTTATTATCTTTTGAAAGCCTTTATTCAACATAATACTGTAGAATAGATAAAAGAAAGTATTGCATCCTGATTATACTTAGGTCAAGGCTTGCATTTGAACAAAATAAAGGAAATAGAAAGGTACCTTGCAAAAGATTCCATAAAGCCCTCTGGGGAGATTTGAAGCAAAATGCCTGTGACATCAACCCACATGAAATCTTTCTCGTTTTATTATCTTTTGAAAGCCTTTATTCAACATAATACTGTAGAATAGATAAAAGAAAGTATTGCATCCTGATTATACTTAGGTCAAGGCTTGCATTTGAACAAAATAAAGGAAATAGAAAGGTACCTTGCAAAAGATTCCATAAAGCCCTCTGGGGCAATCCTTTCCAGTTACCGTCCCGTTTTCTCCAGCAAAACCTTGTTCCTTGTGCAAGCCACCCCTGTAAAAGAAATCAACACAGCGCTCCATAACCTTACAACATATAGCATGATCTAATGCTCCACAACCTTACACCATATGACATGACCAAATGCTCCATAACCTTACACCATAAAATTTGAAACCAATTTCCAGAGTATCACTTAAATATTATTGTCATGGAAAGCATGAGAATGAGTTATGTCATTTTACTTCTCCACGCCTAGAAAACGAACTGGAGAACATGATAATTGAGATGCCTCAAATTTAGTCCCACATGGGATAATGAGTAGAGTTCTATAGGCTTTATTAGCCAAGTCATGAGAGTCGAGTGCAACATTGGCTAGCCAATTTTGGCAGTAGATTAAACTAAACAACGTGTTGCACTCAGTCGATTCCAGGGCTTATAATGGGCCAACAGGCTCATGGGCCTGAAGTGTGACAATAGGAATCCAAAATGACTAGGACTCCAATAACACCAGTAACTGGTCAAAGGTAAACCAATAGATTTGATAACAGAAACTCTTTTCTCAGGTTGAAGCATAATTATTCCCCAGAAAAACTTAAATGTCATATGAATAAGTGATTCAATGAATAAGACAAAACCATTAGCAAAAATTTTCTATTTCAACAACAAGAATTGTTTTTTCTACATTCATTTCCATTAAAGGCCATCTCCTTTGTCAGGTTAGCAAATGAATGTCCTTGCTTTCTTTCAAAATTAATGTTCATAATGTTCTACCCTTACAAGCCGCTCCTCCAATATGAACCGGCAACACCTTCTTGGTGTGTTAGGTAGTCCATCACATGCGTCCAAAGGCAACACCTTCTTGGTGTGTTAGGTAGTCCATCACATGCGTCCAAATGGTTCTCCTCCACCTTATCCTTGAGACAGGTCTTGAGTTATTTCATTTGTTCTTATTAATGCACTTCTTCCTTTTTGTGGGCATAATAGTATTTTAGGTAGCTTTAATATGCAGTTAGTTTCCTGGATAATCTTGATGGGTTCTAGAGTTACCTTTTTGTTTTAGTTAAGGGCCACAATTGTCCAGTGTAGTAGCTTTCTATTAAATGTTTCCGTATGGTAACCAATCAGACCTGAATGTCATGTGTTTCAACTTTAAGATAAGGAGACACTAGGGTGACAAATTCCTTCATTGCCTGAGAAAAGTGGGTTGTCAAATTCCCAAAGTACTAATAGGCATTTTGGTAGATGAATGTTATGAAAATAACAAGAACTCATCACCATGTAGAAATGTAATAGTTATAATCAAAAGGCCATAATTCTAGTGCACCATCTCGAGCATAAATAGAACTAAATACTGGGTAAAAGTTCCTCACGGATACATGATACATCCAGTGCACATAGAGGTTATGTCATATCAAGAAGGCAAGCTTTTAGACCTCTAACTATAAAATAACCACCATGTACCTAATAACGGGAAAATTAGTAAAAGGAATATATACATTAGTGAAGAGAAAACGATCACATTCTGATAATCAAATCAAAGATAAAAACGGAAGAACAAAAAAGCCAAAATGCATACCGGTAGAAACTCATCAAATAGCTCAAAGCAAAAAAAAAAGAACTCAAAAGAATAAAAGCAATGGTATTAGGTATGTCAAACCTTGTACTTATACTTCCATTTATGCTTGCAACAGGGAGATATTCATCCCCTGTGGGGATATCAGACCAATGTAAGTGCCCCCCCCCCCCCCCGCCACCGCCCCCACCATAACGGCTTCCAACGCCCCCAACACTTGAGAGAACAGAACCTTCAGCAAGAGTTAAATAACTCAGAAACAAAAGAATCGAACCCCCAGATCCACCCCCAGGCCCTCCATTAGCAACAGCTTCATCATGAAAGCCATTTCCACTAAAACTTTCACCATCAGCTTCCACTGACCCATATACAATTAAACTTGATAATGCATGCTCCAATGAACCCATAACTGTAAAAGGAAGAGCTGGTCAGCAATTAGAAATGACAGATTACATTTGCAGAGACAACACAATCCAACATCCTCAAGATTACAAGCATTTATTCCACAGTAGAGGCCAACCGAATGAAGGTGCCAAGATAATACCAGTATTAGAATCTACATGGAAAAATCATAAAACTGAATGCAAACTTCCAACTAAGCTATGGTGAACGAGCATGGGCATGGGAGACGTACACAGTAAGACAAAAGTGCATATAAGCAAAATCTTAAAACTTTCATTGGATGTGAATACATTGAGATTATATCATAAAATAATAGTTTGTGTAAATATTTAAAAGTAATATGTAAATATATAAAAGCATACGTATATGTAAAGAATTAGGTGTAGGAAGGACATAACCTTGAGTTTCATAACAAGGTTACCTTGTAGACTTTAGTTGTGACAAGCTAGGCATGTATGATCTGTATGCTCCAGCTTGAGGGCCAGTGTTATAATAGGACTTAGTTTATTTAGAAAGATAGTATATCTAGAAAGTAATTTAATTCCTTTTGTAATTAGGACTTGTATTAGTATTCTATTATAAATAAAGGTAGAGGAAACCTCTCTCTCTCTCTCTCTCTCTCTCTCTGATTAGTGATTACTACTCCTACATAGGGGTGTCCAAAAAGCCCGCCCTCTTTATGTTTTTTATATGTATAATATATATAAAAATAGTGATTTTTTTATATTTTTTATAAGTATTATATATGTATAATATATGTATATATAAATATATATAATATGTATAATATATGTATATATAATATATTTTTATATATGTATAATATATGTATATATTATATATGTATATATAATATATTTCTATATATGTACAATATGTCATATGTGTGTATATATATACTCTCTCTTAGTATATAAGTATATATAAGTATACTCTCTCTTATATAAGTATATATATGTATAAGTATATATAAGTATACTTTCTCTTATATAAGTATATATAAGAATACTCTCTTATATATGTATAATGTATGTATGTATGTATGTATATATATACTCTCTCTCTTAGTATATATGTATATATAAGTATACTTCTCTCTTATATATGTATACTCTCTCTTATATAAGTATATATAATTATACACTCTCTTATATATGTATAATATGTGTATATATATATACTCTCTCTCTCTCTTAGTATATATTATATATAAGTATACTCTCTCTTATATATGTATACTCCCTCTTATATAAGTATACTCTCTCTTATATATGTATAATATGTGTGTGTATACTCTCTCTCTTAGTATATAAGTATATATAAGTATATATAAGTATAGTATATTACAACGGCTACTTCTTCCCTATTGGCCCAACGGGCAACGATTACTTATGCGATTCTCTCTCTCTCAAGTTATAACTTATAAATATATACAATATATTTACATATAATATTTATAACTTATAAATATATACAATATATTTACATATAATATATGTATATATAATATATAGTTACATAATTTTGTAAGTATATACTAATACATAATTATATAAAATATAATAATGTCAAACTAATTTTTAGCATTTTTTATCAAAAAAAAAAGAAAAGAAAAGAAATTTAAAAACCTAGTTGGGAATCTTGGGATGTACTTATCTATTGTGATGCGATGAATTCCAAAATAAATTTATACTTGTAATTTATAAATAATTTAGTAATTATTAATAAAAAATTTATTTTTATAATTTTTCATCTGTAATTTGTCATTTTAAGTGATTAATAAAATTATTGTTTTTTATTAACTTTTTTTGTCTTTTTTTTGTATAATTTAAATTTTAAATAGAATTAAAAAAATAAACCGGGCCAGCCCGGAACCCGGCCCGGTCGGGCCTGGGCCCAGACCCGGCCCGGGGTACCCGGGTCCGGGCTCCGGTTTTGCCCGGCCCGGCCCGGATGGACACATCTACTCCTACAGAAAGTGCATTTGATGATTGTTTTCTCTCTGATTATTAATTCTACAGAAAGTGCATTTGATGATTGTTACATACATACCTATGATGCCTCCACCAGAAGTTGCAGATGCCACACTGTCATTACCACTGCCACTGCCAAGTTCACATGGCAAGTCAGCACTTCCATAAGCAATACCACCCTCAACAAAGCTTCCATTGTAGAAACCATCTCCACCTTTACCACCATGCCCTCCACCACCACCGAGACCAGTGCTTAAAACCTTCCCACTACCAACCCCACCTTTGCAACCTGAATAAACAGAAACTTTATTCAGGAAAGGTTTCAGTTCAATATCAAATCAGCAGTTTTATGCTTCATTACATATAAGAAGATAGGCAAGAAAAGAATGTGATAATGAAAGAAAGACAAAAATGAGTTCACAACTTCCACGGAACTCTTCAAAATCTGATTATTTGCATATACAAGTAACTTTACCAAATCCAGATGCAGTGATCATCCCTAGATGATGTACCACAACAGATCTTGCCCTGTTGAAATGAATGACAGTTCCCTCAATACGGCCAGCAACATCAATATCCTCAACACGACAAATCTGCAAAAGAATTAAAAAAACAACTCAAACTTGTAAAGAAAGTAATGAGAAAAAGTATTAGATAAAATTGCAAATAAATCGCAGAAAGAAATTGTTGTCTTGTTTAAAGACAAAAAATTAACTGAAAACTCAATAAAAATGAAGCACCTGAAGAGTAAAAGCTAATGAAGAATTCACATTGCAATCTTCAGGAGGATGAATTAACTCCACTGGACAATTTTGGAGTTCGCAAGCAAGCCTTGGGGCCCTTGAACAAACAACAGACCAAAAATCAGCATTATTATACAAATGTTAGCAAGGAAAAAAAAAGCAATCTTAAATCGACCAAACTTACATCTCATCACTCGCATTTATTAGGGGACCACGTAAAACTGAGCCAGTTCCCACCTATGAGAGAAAGTATATATTCACCAGGTATATAGCTTATTTGAGCTTGAACAAATATAGGAAAAATAATAAGGGCACAATATCAGAAGCATATGTAACAAAGGGCATGTAAACTAAGTATGGTCAGTACACGAACGAACAGTATACAACTGGGGTTTACCAAAACTGAATCCACGAAAATCTCAATTTTGCCTCTGAACATGTGTTTATCATGTTGATGTAGCTGTATAATGTCACATGACGGCAGGACTATAATGTGCTGCAACACCACCCCACGTCTCAACATTTATCAGCTTGCTCCACATCAATATAAAAGCAATAATTACAAGCTTGATCAAAATGGGACCAGCATTAAAATGGTCAACATATGGACAAGTTGGATCTTATAAGATGCTGAATACATTGCTGACGTATATACCTTTTCTTTTCTCTCTAAGAGTCAGCATTCAGCAATCTTTCAATGAGAAATTCTCTTTACTTACTACCAACCTAATAGATATGCAAGCCTAAAGAGAACACAAGGATCAGCAAGCATCTCTACTGTTCCCTAGGATCTTGGAGCTCAACTTGCTTGGAAGTTTTCCGCACTTGCTAATAAAATAAAATGCTATTAAAAAGAGTTGACTATTTTGAAAATTTTGGGTGATCAGATAATTAAGACAGGAACAGGGTGAATAGTACTTTAGCAAAGGTACTGTTCACACAAAAATTGTTATACTGCAGCAAATGATGGTAATATGCCTGGTCACAGTATTATTCAATTTTAGAATTTGTCTGTTTGTTTAACTGTTTCTTAAACAATATAGTAGCCCACAGTTCTGGGGTCTCTCTGGGACAGAAGATTCAGTAACTATCATATAGTAAAAGGCATAGACTAGTGTGCCATATGAAAGAATTATAGGGCTCTTTTAATTTTCATCTTGTGACATTCTACAAACATGTGTTTCATTTCTCTGTTAATATAAAAATTTTGCAGTATATGCAGATGATTATAATTTAAACCTGGTCAGTTATCTTAGGCCAACTTCCATATAACTGTCATCATATTTTATTAAGCACATTCTTTTTGCATTAATTCAAACTTTAAATTATATTAAAAAGCACACCAGAAAAGAGAGGTTATAGAACTTTACGACAATTCACGAAATTACATTTATTTATACCATCAGATTCAAAAATGAGAAACAAGATTATAGCGGAAGAATTACTGAATTGGTCAAAGAGAGTGAACATAAGGACCTCTGACAAAGAAAAACAAACACTCACATGAATACTATAAAAAAGCGATAGAACTAGGTGTTGTGCTTCTATCAGATCTCCAGGA